AGTAAGTTAGTTAGTTAGAGTACGCAGTTTAATAGCCCATTGAATTTTAGTCTAACAATGTGCACGTTTCAAGTGGCTAAAATTCACCGTTTATTTTTTAGATTTTTTTCGCCGAAGGTGTTGCGGGTTTCTTCCATATAAAAATACATTGTGTTTATTCGTTATATGGAAGAAAACGCGACAAAAAAAAATAAGAAAAATCAACGGTAATTTTTAGCCACTTGAAACTTGTTAGACTAAAATTGAATGGGCTATAAAACTGCGTACTCAAAAAAATTCTAACACTTCTGAGAAAAAGTTTGAAATTTAGGTGAAATTTTGTTTAATTGTTTTGTAGTCATTTACAAAGTTTAAAACTTGGGTTTATATGGGTTTTCTTAGAGAATGAACGGAATTTTAATTAAAAATTAAGTGGCAAACAATATCACTTTGAAATGAGGTTGCTATAGATACGGCCAATACTGTATGTACGTATACATGTGCAGACATTTATGACAAAGAAGAGAGTGTGCACATTCCTAATATGATACACTGTAAATAAGCTATTTTATTATATTGATAAGGAAAAGGATAAAAGCAACGGTAAAAATAACCAGTAAGAAAGTCTAAGTTCGGGCGGAGCCGAACATTAAATACCCGGCGCAAGTATTAAATATATGTTTTTCACCTTTCCGAAAACTACCGCTATATGGTAAGCATAGGGGTTTTACCCCTATTTTAAACACCTCCGATAGAGCGGTCAGTTAGACATAATGAGATAAACTTATGTGGGCGGTATCACGCCCATTTTCCAAAATTCCAAATAATGTAACTTCTTTTCAAGGGATTGTTGTTAGTATCAATTTTGAGTAAATTAGAGTCCTTAAATTTCGAAATATCGAAGTTTCAAGAATTTCTGAAATTTACCGTTATATGAAGTGGCCATAATTTTAGTCCGATTTCAATAATTTTTGCGTTTTGCTTTTATGTGGCAAGCACAATAACTATACCAAGTTTGGTACAAATTGGTTGAACGGTTACCGAGATACATATATGTGATCATAAGTGGGCGGTACCACGCCCATTTTCCAAAATTATATCATTAACGTTTAGAGTTATTGCAAGTATCAATTTTGAATAAATTATCTTTAGTATTTACTGATTTATAGAAAATTTCGTATTTCTCTAAATTACCGTGATATGGGATGCGGGCGTGGTAATTGTCCGATTTTTTAAATTTTCAGCCATTTGGTATGATGTACCAAGGCCAACAACTGTGCCAAGTTTGGGAGAAATTGGTGGAGTGGTTACCAAGATATACACATGTAATTATAAGTGGGCGTGACTACGCTCTTTTTCCAAAAATTTATAATAGTCTTATTTTTCAACTAAAAATTATTGTAAATATCAATTTTGAGTGAATAATCTTCAGAATCGCAATAATCTAAAATATCGCAATTTTCGTATTTCTGAAAACTACCGTTATATGGGAGGTAGGTTATTGTCCGATTTTGCCCATGTAGGACCATCCGTCCTACGCCCGAAATAAGTACACGTACCAAGTTTCGTTAAGATATCTTAATTTTTACTAGAGTTATCGTGTGCACAGACGGACGGACGGAGGACGGACGGACAGACAGTCACGACTTAATCGATTTCTCTTTTCATTCTGATCATTTATATATACAATTGTCTATATCTATCTCGATTCGTTTTGCCTGTTACAAACAAACGTTATGTGAACAAAGTTATAATCAGGGCTATCACGGAATCCATCGTAGTAAATCTACGAATTCAAATGCCCGCTACGAATACGAAAAAATTGCTATCACTGAATCCGAGTGAACTCGAAAATATCGTTGCCAGCTTCGAATGCTGATTCGAAATCAGTTAGTGCAAAGGAAACAACAGACATTTATGTATGTAATTTTGCTCACGCTGGCCAGTCAGGCGCAATGGCCGAGTGTGCAAAGTACTAGACTGCCAATTGAGAGAGCTGAGTTCGAGTCCGAGTCGTGGGGCAGTGGAGATTTTTTTCTTTTTTTATTTAGTTTTTGTTTATTTTTTTAATAAATATTTTTTTTAGTTTATTTTTAGCTTAGATTTTATTATTTTAAATAGAAATTTTTTTTTTTTAATAAATTTGTATGATATTAAAGTAATTAGGTTTATTTCCTAATAAATTGTTGCTAAACTATTATTTCCTCGATTAATGCAAGATATTAATTCATTAAATAGCGTCTAGCAGATGAATGCGTGTATGTACATATGTATGTATGCATAGCATTGGTATTTTACGTCTGCGTTTACACAAATAATATATATCAAACTATAACAAATTTGGAGTACAATAAATATTTAATATTAAAAATAATGCAGCTTTCTTCCACTATTTTTAAGATTGACTGATTTTAAATTTTATTCCGACAGCATAATCTCGTCGTAGAGTATCTGTACGAATCTTCATTACGAAGGGATTCCATGAAGGCTCTATGAATTTCGAATTTACGTTCGTAGCCATTCGGATTCTGTGATAGCACTTTCGTAGATTTCACGAAAATCGAAGCTACGATAGATTCTGTGATAGCCCTGAATACCCTTGTGCACAAGTGCGCTCGGGTATAAAAACATCGCATTTATTTTGATTGGTGAAACTTTGACGATTCTCTGGAAGAAAATGTGACACATGACGCCTTTAGTTTAGAGTCCGACCGATTTCTTTTTTTCTTTTGAGGTACCGATGCCGACTTATGGGGAAAGAATCGGCCGATGCCGACGCCGATGCCGATACGATAAAAAATTATAAATAAATGTATTAGTTCATAAAATCAGTTAATTTATCGGAGTTAACAAAACAAAAGAAAACAAATAGTTGAATTAATTGGCTTGTTATGCAACATTACATACACATGTATGTACATACATATGCATGTGTAAATATTTAGGTACATTACATAAAACTCTTTTTATATAGTGCTAAGCAAGAAATATTAAGGAACATAAAATTTCATTTCGTTTTGTACCTACTATAATACACTCTTTTGCACTCAATGCATAAGAACATATATGCTAGGTATGCGTGTACATTAGGGTGGTCCAAAAACAGTAAAGTCGGAATTGTAATGCTCTCACTCCCCTAGGACTGTTCTATATCGAAAAAAGTATACCCCTATTTTTTTATTTTGAAATCAAGAAATATTTAGAGGTCGCTCAGAGCGCTCAAAGTTTTCCATGTATTTTTATATGGGGAAAACAGCTTTTCGTAGAAATGGTATAGAATTCTTGAAAATCAATTTTTTTCGATCGGAATACTCTGGTTCTCTTCAGGAGACTTTCAATAATAATACCCAATTTTTTATTGGTCCGCCCATTGCATTTTTCGGGGTTTTTGTGGTTTTTGACAGACCTATAAATTATAGTTGCGATGAAATAATGGTTAAATAAACAATTGGGTATTATTATTGGGAATCTCCTGCATATAAACAGTCTTTTCCGACAGAAAAATATTGATTTTGAAGCATTCCATTCCATAGCCACGAAAAGTTCTTTTTTCTCCATACAAAATATATCGTCACTACACGCGAATAAAGGCGCGCTAGTGTTTTGACGGCGAAAAAAGGCGCGTAAAAAAATTTTGCGAAAAAAGATGCTTATGAAAAACTTCGGCGAAGTATATTAAGAGTCTTTGACGCTGAATTTTTTTATGCGTCTTTTTTCGCCGTCAACTTTTGAGCTCGCGCCTTTTTTCGTGTCTAGTGACGATATGGAAAACTTTGAGCGCTTTGAGCGACCTCTAAATATATTTTTTTCGATATATAACAATCCACTTTACTTTTTTCATGCATTTTTGGACCACCCTAATGTACATACATATAGTAGTCCACAAACTAAAAGAATTGCGATATTTTGACCGGTTTTGGTATTTGGCATTTGTCTTTTGTTTATTTAGGTTGTGTCTATACAAAGAGAAAAGGTAATAGGTGACACACTGAGTAATGGCGTCTAAGTTTCTAAGTAAGTCAAGTCAAGTCTGAAGGTACTGGCCCAATGCAGGCTTGCTTTGCTTGCCTCAAAGTTTCAAATAGGCAAATGTTTTATTTGAAAGCGTTTGGTAGGCTTGGTCATGTCGTTCGAATGGACACCGACGCTCCAGCTCTGAAAGTATTCAACTCGGAACCCGCTGGTGGTAGCAGAGGAAGAGGAAGGCCCCCACTGAGATGGAAAGACCAGGTGGAGAAGGACTTGGCTTCATTTGGCATTTCCAATTGGCGCCAGTTGGCACAGAAAAGAAACTACTGGCGTGCTTTGTTGAACTCGGCCAAAATCGCTTAGGCGGTTACAGATAAGAAGAAGAAGAGTACTTTTGAGAATCGAGTTCTGAGTACTTTTGGTATCGATACTGCTCAACAATAGTAATTTTAGTCCGATTTCAAAAATGTTCAACAGATTTCTCAGTAAGACTCTAATAGTTGATTTCCACCAAGCCTTAACTGCAGTTTATGCCGTTTGAAAAACGGAGATCACAACTCGAATGGGGTAATTCCACCTATTAAGTAGAAGCAAACGAAAGAAGAAAAGCAAAACTTAAGAAAAAACCTTGCCAATCACCCCAAGTTGGAATTATTTGAACTTCTCTGAGCTCTTAACTGCAGTTAAGCCTTTGGTGGAAATAGGCTATAAGAAGTGAACGTACGTATCGAGTTTGGTGGAGGTTGGTAAAGCGGCTACTGATTTATGTATGTACATACTTCATCATAAGTGAGCGGTGGCACTCACATTTTCCAAAAATTGTATAATTGTCTTATGTCTAATGCAAAAATTCTACTTCACATTCCCACTTTCAACAGTTTGAACCCAGTGATTTCGGAAATATCGATGTACAAAATTTCGTTGAGATATCTCAGGGTTTACTCATGTTATCGTGTGCTCGGACGGACATGTCTTATAATAAGGGCAGTTAAATTTTTCGGTACGCGACCACGGAATGCTCCATCCTTATATCCTTAAGTTGATTCATCCCATATGTATGTATATAATTTTTTATTTTTAACTAAAAATATGTATATGAGCCACTACAAAACTGTCTTTTCACAATAATACCTGACATAGAGAAATACACAAAAACAGCTTAGCCAATCAGAATAATAGATAACAATATCGTAAATAAGTATTTTATAAGTATAATGTGCAAGTTCTCACAGACTTGTTGTTCCGTTACTAGAATAATTACTGGCACTTTGGCGACTGTTAACTTGATTTGTACAAACATATATATGTGTTCAAAGCATGATACAAAAATTTAAAGGTAAAACCGCTGAGAGGCAGTCTGAATATTTTTGAAGTTTGCTACCGTAACAAAAATGTTATCAAATTTTCAATCTCACTCATGAGACATTATTTTTCATATCGGGCACCAAATTTGGTGTCACGCTTTCGATTCGCTTCAAATTTTATTTTATGAGTTCTATACATGAAATAAGCTAACACGTATTCGAAGAAATTTCTTTTTCATTTTTTTCTTCGGAGATCTGATCTGTCAAAATTTGGATTTTTTCGTGTTCTGACTTATCATGGTCTTCTTCAAATCGTTATATATCGGGTGCAGCTCATCGTGGAGACTTCATTTTAACGTCGTTTTAAAGCTTAAAAAACGGGCTTAACATGTCTATATATAGGATGGTCATGATTGTCCTAAAGCTAACTTAGCTATTAACAGTTGAACTTTTTGAAGTTGATTTGCATAGTAAAGACCAGTAAATTAGGGATTTAAAATTATACCATCGCAGTCCTTGTTTAATTCTCTATGAAAAACATGGTAAAAAATTGGCGTTTTTCAATAACTATTTTTAAAATATATGTTTTTTTTTAACGAGATAATTTATTTTGTGAGAGTCAACAATTTTTTGTAATTTGTTTACGAAAGCTTATTCAATCAAATAATATTCTAGAAATGGGTGTGGCAATTTAAAAAACAATGTTCAAAAATTTAGATTTTATTGTGGATTTCGCCAGAATAACTATATTGCGGAACAAATGTTAACGAAGGAATATTCTGCCGAAATCCGCAATAAAATCTGCGTTTTGCTAACTTTAGTTCCACAATTGCAATGCCCATTTCTAGAGGTTTGTCGCCTTAAAATCTTGCCATACAAATATTATTTCTGGATAGGCATTCTATCGGATTCCGCAATAAAATTTTAATTTTTGTAAAAACCCATTTTTAACACCTTGCAAAAAATATCTCATCATAACTTTTTGAAAACAAATAACCATAAAAATTTCACAAAATAAACCATCCCGTCATAAAAAAAAAAATATTTTTAAAATCTTGAATCTTGTTTTTTTATAGAGAACTAAACAAGGATTACGATGGTGTAATTTTAAAGCCCTAATTTACTGGTCTTCACTATGCAAACCCACTTCAAAAAGTTAAAATGTTTATAGCTAAGTTAGCTTTAGAACAATCACAACCATATTATATATAGACATGTTAAGCCCGCTTCTTTAGCTTTAAAACGGCGTTAAGGTGAAATCTCTACGAAGAGCAGAACCCGAGATATAACGATTTGAAGAAGTATATGATTAGTCAGAATCACGAAAAAATCCAAACTCTGAACCCATAAAAAAAAAAATTTGAAGCGAATCGGAGACATATCATTTTTTTACCAAATCCGTACAACTTAAAAAGGAATGGCTAACATACGTACACTGGCGATCAAATCCGAGTGCATGTACGACATTCTATTACTTACAGTAACATAACTTTTTTTAATAATAGGCGAATTGGTTGGAAAGTAGACAAACTAAAAAAAAAAATCACGGCCGACGAACTGAGCGAGCGGTTTTATCTTTAAATACTTGTATCATGTGTTCAAAGAACGAAAAGAAGTTAATTTTATAAACTAAATGACAAGCATTTGCAACTTCTATTCTAAATTCAAATTACTAAGTGGTAAGCATATCTTCATCATCATTTGGTATCCGTTTCCATCGCTTTGTTATTGTTAAGACTACGCCAACAATGTAGAATACAGCACCTATCACTGCCAACCCGACTCCAGTGTAGAAGCCATAGCCGCCCAAATTTAGAACAAGCTGCAAAGGGTAAAAAAGGTTACCAAATTAAGTCTATAATTAGAAAAGCGTATGCGTAAGCGTACCTTTGTTCTACTAGCTAACTTAGTGTCTAATTCCGCACGCTGATCGAACCAGAACATGGGCATTAGGAATTTCGGAACACCACGATATATGCTAATAAAAAAAAAATTTAAATTTAATATTATTTCAAGCGTTAGTCATCATATTTTAAAAACTTACTCAAAGTCATCATCTGGTTGAATCATCATATTGATTTGCAGACGTCCATTCACTTGCAGAGGCACACCAGTGTTTGGCTCTATAGCCAAATTGAAACTATGTTTATGCTCATCCGGTTGCAAGCCCGCTACGGCGTTTAGATAGGTTGGATCAGCCAAATAGAAGTGTGGAAACGAGGCATAAATCGGCGCATTATTTCGACATTTTTTACAATCTACAACTCCCGTTTTCGGGCATTCGTCAAAACTTGGATCGCAAAAGCATTTCTGATTAGGATAGTTTTCGCCAGAATCAAGTGTCTCGACCGTCCCAACCCAATTGTATCCCGTTAGTCCATGTTTTTCAATAGTACCATTCGGGGCCAAATTCAAATAACGACATGCATCCGTCGCAAAGATGGTGATCTCCTGTTGAGCGCTCAAATGTGGTGGGAAGAGATCGCCGGTAGTACCATTAACTGTGCCACACGGTGCGGCATAAAACCCAGTCTCTTTCCTTTTATTCCAATGTGTCAAACGACCCAAATTTTGCATATCATCGACACCCGTGTGTATTGTGAAGAGGCCATCATATTCGGCAGAAGCATTACGATCTACAAGCCAGCCAAAGCGTGTGTAGGGAATTTTGATTTTTGTTGTATTGAAACGATTTAGGAAGTCGATTAATTTGTCTTCGTAACCGTCAAAAATCCACTCGCGTACAGGCTTAGTTGTGTATAGCTCACCACCTTCGTGATTCAACATGAAATTAACAATTTTTTTTATAACTTTGTTTCTGTGTCGCATCTCGTCAGCAATGGTCTTTAAAAGAGGAGAAAATTTCAAATTAAACCCATATAGCTACTACCGAAAAATGCCCGGTCTGTTTTACTCACAGCAGTTATAACATGCGCTGCTGTTACCATATCATTCAAAGATCCGCCGGAGCGCTGCTCATCGAAGAACCAGGTACGCTTCTGGAAGTATGACACTGTATCGTTTTGATAAAATGTAATATTTTGCTTCAAGTGTTTCTCAAGAAACACATACGGTCCCATTTCAACAAAGTGTGGTTTCACATTCGGATTTCGTATCTCTTCAGGGTTCGTCCAATTAAATATATGGAATTCTAAGTAAATTGGAATGGGCGCCTCCACCCAAATGTTATAGGCTTCAGAGCCAACTTTTAACATTAAACTCTGCAAGTACAGTAATGCAACAATTAATAATCAAGATTTTACTCTATAATGGGTGCTTACATTTCGCATAATGTTATCCGCAATTCCATTCCAAAATACAAGTAAAGCAATACCAAGAGCCGTAAAGAAGGTGCCTAACCCAAAAACCCAGGCTTTACGCTGTGTGACGCTACAGGATTCGCAAGACATCTTTTTTATTAAAATGATCAGTACTTTTTTATTAAATAGTTTTTGATATTAAATAGCTTTTCGAAAGTGTCAAGAAGACCTTTAAGTGCAGCTTCGCAAGTTGTTTCAGCGTGAACGGCTGCTGCAAGGAGAAAGATAAATTCTTTTAAATTGTCTAAACTATGTAAATTGTCTAAACGTGTAAATTTTAACTTAGTACAAAATCTGTAGTTAACTGCCGATTCTGAGTTAACTACGCACTGTGAATTTGGCCCTTAAAATATAAAATTTAATTACTTCGTTTTTAATTTTCCTATTTTCTAATGGATATTTGGGACGTACATTCATATACAGGGTACATTCCAAAACGTCAAAATACAAAGCATTTCTAAACCCCAGTAAACTGAAAGGCTAAATGTGCGCAACCACGGTTAGATTCTAGTTTTCAACTGGTAATGGATAATGGTGCTTTGTATTTTGCAGTTTTGGAATGCACCCTATATATATATGAATGTACGTCACAAAATATCGATTAAATTTGACCGAAAAAATAAGAATCCATATTTAATGATTCTTGATCAAAGCAAAAAGAATCAAAAATAACGATTTTGCAATGATCTTAAAATAAACATATTAATATTTAACGGTAATAAACTTTCGTAGTCTTGGTTTTTGTACAATGTACGAAACTTTCGTTCATAATACGAACACGTTTTTCACAACGAAACAATATTTTACGAACCATACGTAAATATAACGAAAGGACTTTCCTAAGGCATTTTTTAGTACAATTAATTTAGTACAGTACGAAATCTTACGTTTATATTACGAAACACATTCGTAAAGCACTGAACAAATCTCTGTACGAATAATTTTGTATATTGTAGGAAGGCATTCGTAATATTTACGTATGGTTTTAAAATTTACGAACTCTACAATTCTGTATTCGTACAATTTAGTTAATACTTTCGTATAAAGTACTAATGCAGAAACATGTTTTTTTTTTAATTCGTACAACATACGAATATTTTCGGACAATATACTAAATTACCGGCAGTTTAATATTTCATCATATTTTTGAGTATGTGTCATTGCGGAATTACTTGTTGGCTGCTGAGACGTATAAAAGCTTAAACAACCGACAGCGTTGATCCGGATTAACTCGGTCTTAATCCGGATCAACTGCAGTTAATTCCCGAGTTGATCCGGATCAACGCTGCCGTCTGTTTATGCTTTAATATAATTTTAAACGTTGTAAAAAGGGATTTGCTGGATAAAAATACAATACAAAATTAAATATTAAAGCTGTGGATATACTATGCGTTTAAGCATACAATGTTTTTGCGCTGCAATGTGGGACTTGATAAATAGGCAATTTCATCAGTTACCTATCAACGGCAAGCCTAAGCCAGGAGGACTACTTAATGAAATTAATAGTAAGTATGTACATGTATGATTTTTTACTGAAACTTGCTTTTCAGACGCCTTATAATTATACCCGAGCGCACTTGTGGACAAGGGTATGTATATTAATTTTGTTCACATAACGGTTGTTTGTAACAGCCAAAACGAATCGAGATAGATAAAGACAAATGTATACACAAATGCTCAGAATGAATAGAGAAATCGATTAAGCCATGTCTGTCTGTCCGGTTGCCATGTAGGTTTCCGTTAATCCAAGGTAGGTTGGTATTGAAAATGGACTGTAACCACGCCCACTTCCCATATAACGGTAATTTCCAGAAATACGAAAACTGCGATAATTTATTAACTACTGAAGATAATTCACTCAAAATTGATATTTACAATAATTTTCAGACGAAAAATAAGAATATTATAAATTTTTGGAAAATGGGCGTAGCCACGCCCACTTATGGTTACATGTGTATATCTTGGTAACCGCTGCACCAATTTCTTCCAAACTTGGCGCAGTTGTTAACCGACGTACAGCATACCAAATGGCCGAAAATTTTTAAAATCGAACAATAACCACGCCCACATTCCATATAACGGTAATTTAGAGAAATACGAAATCTTCGATAAATCAGAAAATATTAAAGGTAATTTATTAAAAATTGATGCTTGCAACAATTCTTTACCAAGAAATACGTTGATGTTAAAATTTTGGAAAATGGGCGTGCCACCGCCCACTTATGATCACATAAATATATATGTCTCTCGGTAGCCGTTTTACCAATTTGTACCAAACTCGGTACGTTGAAACGTTGAAAATTATTGAAATCGGACTAAAATTACGGCCGCTTTTCATATAACGGTAAATTTAAGAAATGCTTGAAACTTCAATATTTCGCAATTTAAGAACGCTAATTTACTCAAAATTGATACACCCGGCTTACCATGTAGCGGTAGCTTTCGGAAAGGTGAGAAACATATATTTAATACTTGCGCCGGGTATTTAATGTTCGGCTCCGCCCGAACTTAGACTTGCTTACTTGTTATATTTAGTTTTGTTGAGTCTCATAGTTTAACACTTTTCATCAATATACTTTATTGAATGAAGCCTAAGCAGTAAAAAAATATTTAGTATAGAACCTATTCGTATGCATATAAATAAAAGACTTAAGTTTTATTATAGGTAAAATAACCTTTTTTATTAATTTTAAACTACAGTGTAGTCAGAAAATTATTCTTCTTCTTTCGTAGGATGTATGATTGCTTTTATTATTAACACTAGAAAAAACATGACTCAAATTATAGCACAACACTTTCATTATATTTTAATCATTAATTTTAAGCATTTTTGCAAAACATTTTGTTAAACAAAAACGCTTGAAATTAACAAAATAAAAGTAGAATTATAGTAATATGTTTTTTACAGTGTGGAGAATGAAAGCAATCGCACATTCTACGAAACAAGCGCATATTTTACGAAAATAATTTCGTTAAATATACGAATTATTTCTGTGCATTTTACAAAAATTTCTTTAGTAAATAGTAGTTCTTTAGTAAATAGTACTAAATTCGTTAGTAAATAGTACGAATACATTCGTAAAATGTACTAAAGATCTGATGCCTCATATTTTCGTAGTATGTACGAAAACGGTTTTGTACAATCAACGAAAACTTTCGTGGCTCAAAATGACGAAAAATTTCGTAAGATGTACGCAAGTTTTCGTTATATTTACGCAGATTTTATTTTCAGTGCAGAGTGCGCAAAGGAGTGCGCAAGAGTCGGGATTGAGTATAGCCGAGCAACTGCACCTGCGTACCCAGAACAACGACTATACCCTATTATACACAAATAACATAACTTTAAGCTGCCCTGCGCTCAACAATAGACTTAAAGCACGTGTTTATAACCAAAAATTTGCACAATATTAATAATTAGCACTTTACTTTATTCAAAGGCACGTATTCTCGCTTTCAGTAAACAAACGTAATGACCAGGGAACGGATTTTATGGGAAATGCCTTTTTTCGATTATAAATTACCACGATTATATGTTCCTTTATTGAAATATACATGTTTGATGTTGCATTTTTGCCATTAACCCTCTGCTGCCCGGCAGGGTCCCCAGGGACCCATGATGTTTTAATAGATGCGGCATTTTAATCCGGTTCGATCTAACTTTACTGCCACAAATGGAAGGTATAGAATCTATTTAAATAGCTTCTAACACGGTTTATAGATATCGTTCGTCATAATCAACGGATTGAGGTCATCATGGCGTCGATGCACGACAGGGTCCGCAGGGACCTCTAGAGATCTGCATCTAATTTATTCTTGTTTCTTGGGCTTGCAGTTATTTTCATGTACGGCTACGCGTACGCGTAAGAAAGGAACGAGGAAGGTATGTATATTCGAATGCTTTTAGAAACTTATCAGCCGCTTTTATAAATCTAGTGGCTAAATTGATCAAGCTAATTCACACTTCTGTGATATGATCATTAGCCTATTATATTGATAATTTGGAAATTGGAAGTTGTGTTTCTTATTTATTTATATTAAGCATTGATTTTTGATGGACACGAGCTCTGAAATTATTCCACTCGGAAGCCGCTGGTGGTAGCAGAGGAAGCCAAAGCCCCCACTGCGATGGAAAGACCGAATGGAGAAGGACTTGGCTTCACTTGGAATTTCCAATTGGCGTCAGTTGCCACAATAGAGAAACGACTAGCGTGTTTTGTTGAACTCGACCAAAATCGCTTAGGCGGTTACAGGGCCAAATAAGAAGAGGAAGAGCAGAACCAAGGCAATGAAGTCCTTTGTCGCTTTGTCTTGCTAGGTGACGTACAATAATGTCAATGGAATTACTGTCACTGGCAAAAATACACAATTGAAAAGTGAATTAATGTCAATGACATTAATACACAGGCCAAAAGTGAAATGTCAGAAGAATTGTGGAAATAATGTCATTGACATTAATTCACTTTTCAATTGTGTATTTTCTGTGTGGTAAAATGCACCAACATGCCCTTCGTCTTTACTCTCTCTGTTTTGCTCAGCGTACTATATGAAATCCTCCTTTAATACCTCAAATTATTTTCCTACCTTCCACAAAATAAGCAGCTCCTGGGCTTTCGGAGCTAATAGCACCCAACACCACAACCGAAGGAAGTATGCGTTGTTGGATACACTAAAAAAGCAGCTCTTCTCCTGGGTGCTTTCGAACATATTTTACTGAGTCACTGAGAATGTTCAACGTAATTTTGGCACTAAAGTAAGCCAGAAGATAATTTAAAAAATATGAAATAGAAGTACCTTATTTTTTGCTCAACCATTTCCTATAATAATTTTCTAAACCTGATCCCCTTGTTCCAGTAGTTTTTACAAAATTTCAGTCTTGGGACCACCATATTTTTTCGTGGTGGTTTATTCCGAGGCCGAAAAGAGACATATATATAATCATTTTAAGTTAGTTAGTTTTGCATAAAATTTTTCAACCGTTCTTATGACTTGAAGCACTACTGTATATAAAGAATTTGCGCTCTAAAGGCAGAGTCAGGGCCAATTTCAAATGAATATTTAAACGGCACTTAAGTTAAATTTTGGATTGTTACTTAAATGCCATTTAGCTTTCGTTGGGTTTCAGATCAAGTTTATTTAAATATGCCAAACAATTGCCAACACTGTTGCTAGCTTCTTGAAATTGTTGTTGCATTTGTTTGTTTGTTTACATTT